AGATGTCGCACCATGCTGTTAATTATATCATTATCTGCCCACTTTAAACAAAACTTTGCTTTGATGTCCCTTGTATAAGATGCCGAACTCCATTGGCATATTTGTGCATCCGGAGAGCACACCTGTGGCTCCGGATCGTGTCATGGGCTAACTGGACGCAATAAAATGCACACGGCTGACACGATCAGGTGCACTTTCAAGTTGAGAGTGGCCGGTAATGAACCACGAGGCATTCACGTTAGCTTCGCTATTTCAGCTTTTGAATTCAACCGATCGACATTGACATGGTTCCATTCTTCCAGTGAATATCATCAGGTACACGGTCGCAATTTCGCAAATGTAACACGCGTAACACAGATACTTAATATAGAAAATAAAGCTGAGACCGGATAAGGGAGACGCACTAACGGAAAAGTAGGCGCACAATAAAGAGAGATTGAAAAAAGTTTAAACGCAGCTGCTACACCCGTTTTTGCCACATACTACCAATATTTCCTTTCTCCCATTTATCGCATAAATGCGAGGGGCGTTTCTTCGAAACGCTTCAGAGTCCCCCGAATGAGCATCTGGAGACTAATAACAGGCCCTCTGTCAGTGATGCAAATGGTTTCCAAGATGTGAGGCTGTCCCTTGTTTGGACACCGTGGGATGATCCTGATGTTCCTTGTCATTAGCACTCTGGTGAGGTCTTGATAGTGGAATATCCTCAGGTGCCGCAGCATAGCTCCATCATGTGGGTGTGTAGCCACCCTCATTTTGGTGGGATACCCTCAGGTGCTGCAACATAGCTCCATCATGTGGGTGTGTAGCCACCCCCCTTTTGGTGGGACACCCTCAGGTGCCGCAGCATAGCTCCATCATGTGGGCGTGTAGCCACCCTCCTTTTGGTGGGAATACCCTCAGGTGCCGCAACATAGCTCCACCATGTGGGTGTGTAGCCACCCCCCTTTTGGTGGGATACGCTCAGGTGCCGCAGCATAGCTCCATCACGTGGGCGTGTAGCCACCCTCCTTTTGGTGGGATACCCTCAGGTGCCGCAGCATAGCTCCATCATGTGGGTGTGTAGCCACCCCCTTTTTTAACGAAGTTGGACGGCATCCAGCATAGAGCTTGGACGGTGATCACAGGCACCAGTGGTCCAATTAAACCCATGCACCACATTTTGGCTAATTTCGGCAGCGAAGGCAGGGGAGCAAGATGGCTGTTCCTTACGAGATTAGTGACTTGTGAGCTCTTGCAGTATGTGACCAAAACGTGGACGGCCTGCGACATTGGTCGCGGTGATCTTCTGCAGGACGTGCTGATCTTTCTTGAAAGACAATGACGTAGAGTTAATGGTAACATTTTCTTCAGATTTTTGCCATCGACAGTATCCTGTTGGTTGGGTGCGCCTGTTGTTGACCCGTTTTTGAATTTCATTTCCAAGAGGTCTGCGTTGTAAGTGTGTAAGAGAGAAGCTGACTTATTTATAGTAAGCTCTTGGTGGAATCAAGGCCAAGGGTTGAACGATGTTTTCAAATCCGGAGGACGTCAAGCGCCCAACAGCACGGCAAGCATTTGCCTCTGCAAAATCGGCTCGTAGCGGCCGGTGACCAAAGTCCGTCGGCTGTCTTGCAGCTTCTGTGGAGGTTTATTAGATTGCTATTTAGGCATCTGCAATGTCTGCCATCTAGAAGTCTACATCATAACATTACATGCATATATGGTATATATATATATATATATATATAATATATTATATATATAATATAGTGTGTGTGTGGTGTGGTTGTGTGTGTGTGTGTGGTGTGTGTGTGTGTGTGTGTGTGTGTGTGTTGTGTGTTGCTGTGTTGTGTGTGGGAATTTTGGTGTGTGTGGTGTGTGTGTGGTGTGTTGTGTGTGTGTGGTGTGTTGTGTGTGTGTGGTGTGTGTGTGTGTGCTGTGGTGTGTGTGTGTGTGTGTGTGTGTGTGTGTGTGTTGTGTGTGTGTGGTGTGTGTGTGTGTGTGTGTGGTGTGTGTGTGTGTGTGTGTGTGTGTGTGTGTGTGTGTGTGTGTGTGTGTGTGTGTGTGTGTGTGTGTGTGTGTGTGTGTGTGGTGTGTGTGTGTGTGTGTGTGTGTGTGTGTGTGTGTGTGTGTGTGTGTGTGTGTGTGTGTGTGTGTGTGTGTGTGTGTACATATATGTATATGTAGATATATAGGCAATCATCTGGCATTCACAAGTCGAACGTTTCTTTATTTCTGGTAATGTTTTCGGAGATAAGTGGATATGGCTTGCCGCGATAGCATCACGTAAGACAGTATGAACTTAAAACAATAGTTTAACGCCGAAAAACAGCTAGTGTTATTCCAGCACAGTTTCTGACTCAGTAACAGGTTGCACACAAAAATGCACATTCGTGTTCGACAGTATGCACACACGTAAAAATGTGCGCGCGCGACACGCTTTTATCGCATAAAACATGACAACCATACCTGTGGGTGAATTGCACGGCCAAGTGTTGAAGCTGATACATAGGTTATCGAATGGAATTTCAAAAACATTAAAAATCGCGGCTGATCCATCCATGATTCCCAGGACAGCACATGCCCACCTCAGGAATCTGACGGGTGGCCAGTCATAAATACGGATCACAGAATTCACCGCAAAGGCGACTCATCAGCCGGTCGGCTGAATCCCAATTAAGCTGTGCCCGGCATGCGTTCAGAGCAGGTATTCATAGGCAAACGTGTCGTATTAAGTAGGCCATAATCAGAAGCAGAAACAGCGTCCGTCTTATCTACAAGGCGCTAATCTACGTAAATGTCCTCGCGCCGTCCGAACTGGCTGCCTTATGATGGTGTCCAACGTATTCCAATCAAATGTGGCTCGCATCCGTAATCTCGAAATACATATGCGAGCAGATGCAGGCAGAACTGGCTTCTCCCCTCCTACGAGCTGTCACAATGTTCATGCATGCTGCTAGAGTGGGTTTCGCGCCCTATGAAAAGGAAGCGTTTCTGTGTGACGGCGTTAATCTTTCACATGAGAAGTTCGGAACCCGTCAAATTTAGGTGTGGACGAACCCAGGCTTCAATAAATACCGGATTTAATTCTAATTTTGCATGCTATTAGACTGACATTAATTCAGACTTGACGCTTTTCTTTCATGCTGCCTTCGACCTGAAGATTGCCTGGCAAGTTTCACAAAACTGTCACCCTCACCTTCACCCTTACCACTCGATTTGCAGTACGTGGGTTGGACCAGCTGTTGCAAATCTGGTGACCTCAAATCGCCGTGATGACCTTAAGATGAGCGAGGGGTCATGGGGACAGTGAACGTAACAGAAAAATAGGACGGGAACGATTCGGTTGTGATGCCATGCCAAACATGGCTTCAAACCTGTACGTGTTGGGGCTTCGCTAGAGACAATTGCCCCCCACAGATATCCACTACAAAGGAGGACAAGCCGTTGACTGGATGACACCGTCGGCGCCAGATGGAATAGAGTTTTATAGTGCTATATATATATATATATATATATATTATATATATACAAAGCATACAACAAAAATCATAATAATGACACACGCTTTTTTCCAAGCGCCGATCAAACACATTTTATAAATGTTTACAAGAAGGCAACGCTATGCGAACATCACATGTCATTATGCAGTTTAGGCAATCATGGATAATGATCGGGTGCAGAAGACTCACGATTAGCTACCCATTTACATTTGCACATGTCCTTTCATCTGGCAAGATGCCAGGAGTGAGCTACATTCAAATACTCATTCGTTCCGCGCGTGTAATCTGCTCTGCGCAGGAACAGCTCGACCGTCAACAGTCAGCTGTTGCCCAATTTGAGCGGCCCATACGCACTGTTTCCGGACCCATGCATAGCTGCTTCTGGACACGTGGCACTACCCAGCTGGTCATGCTGAGGACCTCTACGGCAATACAAGAAACTGCCTCCGTGCGCCTTCTGGTTTGTCGTCTGTACAGTCGTTGGTGTGCTTAGCTTAATGGGTGGCTTGACCGCGCCATGTCATCATCCTCTTATCGTCTTGGTCTGGTAATACGGCTGTTTTAAGCATCAAAAGCTGTTTCAACCAGTTACAATGACATGTTGTGCTGTGTTGAATCAGTGTCGCATCAGTCGGTGTTGCAAATATAGTCTGTCGAAGTTGATCCGCGTTTACCGTTCACCTCTGCTTAAATATAGTAAATAAGTTTGCGGGCGGCTGTGCGAACGCGCACATGGGTCCGACAGGCGACCGTTTTATAAAAGTAAGATGGATCCCTCTTTTAAACAAATGTTCGAAGCCGAAGCGGGTCGCTTCCATATGTGGCGTGGGTCGTCAGCGATTTGGGGGGCGCGGACGCCTTGTTGGGCAGCGTACCGGGTGGAGTCGCGATTTGATGGAAATCACTAATACGGAGTGCATACCAGACGGAGAGACGGAAATATCGCCAGACAACAATCCATCTTCCCGGGCACATAATGAACCACCTGAGCCGAGGTCGGCCACCCAAGGTGAAGAGTGGGTTTGTGAAGTCAGACGGAAAAGGCCCAAAGTCGCGGCTGAGGGTGATTTATTGTCAGTGGCGCGACAGCGACAACATAAACATATGGCTTCGCCTTGTCGCTTTCAAGACATCTGTTCAGAGATTGTTGTCGAACGAATACACCATGGATCGGAATAATCAGCTTGTACGCAAGTATCGTCAGGATCGCAGTCACAGTAGCTAGATATTTTTCCACCGATGCAACAGCCTCTAAGGAACAGAGTCACTGATGAATAACTAGTTACTTTGTGCTTCGTTTTGAAAGTACATTTGACAAACGTGTTGATCGGCTTTCAAAATCTGCTGCTGCCTCTCCGACACCGACACCGCGCTGGCTTATCTTGACCGCGAGCACCAGCGACGCGACCGCAGTGTCGTGACGTCAGAAGCGTCAGGTGGCGCAGGTGCAGTGCCCGGGGGCACGCCGCTGTGTGGCCAACCCGATCACGGCCGGCTTGGCAGGGACCACGCCGCTCAGGCGCTACACTCCACAGGACGCTCCATGTTGGCGACGCCGGCCGCTGGGGGACAGCCGCCCGGGAACCAGGCCGCGGCTCGCGCCGGACGAGCCGTGCCGGGCGGACGGAAGCCGTACAGGCGCGCGCGAGGCTCAGCCACGGTCGGTCGCCCAGGCGGTACGGTGCTTGACAAATTAGCGAAGGCGCCAGTGTGGGATCTGCAGACTGCGCCTGCGTGCCGGTGGAGAGATCCCATCTATCCACGCCCCCGGGCCTTGAGTGACAACAGCGGACGTGGTCCGTGGTCCGTCCGCACTTTTTCCTTCACCCGGCCCACTCACGATGGCAGTGAAGCGACATCACACAAAGTTTGACGTCACAATGACGACTGCTGCAGTAAAATGAATGGGCTTTGGGCTGGTAAGGAACGTTATGGGATGAGCAGATGAATGATACAATACCCCTGTAAACTGATATGGTTGCAGTAAGGTGCGCCATGCGCAAATAGCAATAGCAATTGAATTTGGCAATTGGCAGAAATGGCAATTTGCAATTGCAGGGTCAAATGATTTCGTGATATTGGTTGAGGCTTATCGAAAGCATATCCGTTTCTATCGATTATTCTATTCCACATTCTACTACCCCTCTTCTATTCTAAATTATATTATCCTATTCCATTCCTTACTCTGTCATCCTATTCTATACTGTATCTTGCCATGCTATTCTATTGTATATTCTATCTTTTTCTGTATATATTCTACTATCTATCAAGTTCTGTCTTGTACTATCTTATACTGTTCTATATTTCAATTCTATCGACAGAGAGCAAAACCAGAAAGAATCAAAAATGTTTTCTGAATGACTCTGGAAACGCTGGCGCTGATCAGCCTCTTTGATTCCGTGGAGGCGGAACAAGCCTTTGATGGCAAAATTCTGCGCAGCCTTCTGACCTGAAGAAATTTTATTCGAGGTTATCTGTTGTGGGTAAAATGATCGCTATGTTTCGTCCCACTGGTCTTGGTTCGTCGGCCGCGGTTTATGCTCCCGTTTTCCCTGGGGTTTCACGGGGTCTGAAATGCGGAAACAATGCGCTATAGCCCAATGTTGCCGTTTCAATACGCTTTTTAAGCTGCTCGAAAGCGGCAGGAAGGCTAACATGTGTAAGGCTTATCCTGGGGGCTGGCTTGCTTCCAAGAACGCAGTAAAGCATGCAATATTGATCACTCCAATAGAAAATTACCCTGTCCATATTTCAGATGCAGGTCGTTCGCGTCCAGAAGTTTCCGCCGTGGACGTTATGAAGGTCGATGGGCTGCACCACAGAGCGGTGAATTAACGGACGTTTGATATTCAGTCCTCTTCCAGGTACATCTCGACATTATCATAAATTAATTTGGCTGATATGTGGGCTTCCGATGGCTTA